ACAATAACGGTGCAGGAGGACGGGACGGCCTCGGGGCGAGCTGCGGGCTCCGCTGGGCACCGCGCAAATTTGGTCCTTCCACATCAAGAGCTAAATACTGGCTTTCAGCCGCAGCCGCGCAGGCTCCGCGCATTTCGCATTGTGTGGTAGCATTGTTGAGAGCTGCAATTCGACCGGCGCGGGGGGGGGGGAGAAGCGCTGCTGGGTTTACATATGTAGATGCGGGCAGCGTTCAGCGCCAAGCCAACACTCACCCTCCCCCGGAGCATCAGACACAAAGGAAGACCTCGTTCCTTTCAAGTCCCCAGAATAAATTAAGCTCCGGCTTTCAGTTTTGGAACGTCCCAAAAATATTTTTTTTTTTTTTAATGGCACTGCACAGGCGCTGACGGTTCCGCAGGAAACCAGAGGTGTAACCATATGTACGTGGTAAAAAGGGCTCAGCCCTACCAGCTCATATTTCCTGGTCTCATCCTGCAAGTCAACCTGACATGTTTTGCCTTTTTCCGGTTTATTTATCCCTTAAATTTTTTATTCAGCCTTTTCTAGGGTAATGGTGATGCACCAATCTCCATTAGCCAAATCTGTACCATTTACACGTTTACAGTTACAAATATCTGCTCAAGTGCCAGCGTCGTCCTCTTGGGTGAAGAAAAAGGAGAAGTCCTCCTTCTGGTGCTTCTGAAGTGCCTCGACGTTTCTGTCTTCGCCTCACAGAAATAATTTACTCTTTAGAAAGGTCTTACAAACTAAACTCGCCGCCGAAAATTCGGAGAGGGGACCCCAGAATGGCGTGAGTCCCTGCAGCCCCGAACCAAAGCTTAGGGAGAATAGAGAACTCTCCATTCCTAAGGTCTCTCTGAAAGAGTTTTTGCTAAAATCAGGTAATGGCACAGCCCAATTTAATTTTTAAAAAGAAACTATTAAAGGTTTCAAATTAATTTTAGTAGAGGCTATATGTGGAGTTGGAGATTCTTCACCCAGTGTACTCTTTTCGAGAGAGCTCTTCAGTTGCCTGCATCCTATTCACTCCCACTAACCTTTCCACGTTTAAACTCCTGGTTTTTAAAAACCCAGCACTTCCAACTCCGATCCGTGGGAGAGTTTGCGCGTTGCTTTTCCCACCAAATGAGCTGAGTCGTGCAAATACGGGATTAAAAGCCCTAATTTCTGTAACCCTATGAATATCTCCTCGACTCCTTGAACAATTTGCCAGGCGTGTGGCAGGTGGAACAGACCCTGCAGAGGCAGATGGGGTGACCCAGGTCCCCGGCGATGGGCGCGGGGGGCGGCCGGGGGAGGTTCGGCTCCAGCCCGGCTGATCCGCAGCCCCGGCGGGCGGTCCCGGGGGCCTCCCGAACCGCTGGGGAAGCCGCCGCACCAAGGCAGGGGAAGACCTCACCTTTTAATGGGCGTCGTGCAGTTTTAAGCCGTAGTGGAACATCCACGGCTTGACCAGCGGGGCATGAGCCGTCGAGGGGCAGGGAGCCCCGTCCTGGACCCAGTGCCATTCCAGCTGGGGGTTCTTGCCGGGGGGACCCGGCGGCTCCCGGAGCTGAGTCACCTGTTGCCTCGCACCCGCGGGGACGAGTCCGAGCCGGGAAAACCCACGCCCTCGGCACACCTCACCCCCAAAAAACCCCAGGAGCAGCTTCGCCCTTCCCCGTCTTGGGGAAAATGATGCTTCCCCGCCCCGTTCCGGGCGCATTTCCGACTGAATCAAAGTCTGAGATTAAAGAACACCCACCAGAAAGAGAGGGCACATTATTCATTTGGACAACTGTTGCCTATTCCCCTGGTCTCCGGTTTATTTTTTAAGCTGACGTGTGCGGTAACGCAGTCATTACTAACACCATCCGCTTAAGGATACAGGTTTCCTACTAATGAGCACCCCAGCAGCAGGCAATAAAGTCTCACAACTACGTCATTTCCATAAATGATTTTCCGTCTTCAGTACTTTTGCGAGAACCGGTGACATTTCCGTAGACCTCATTTGCATGGTGTTTATTCCTCATTATTATTATTAACCATGTGAACAGACTTAGTATCAAGCACGAAGTGTAACAGCAAGTCTTGGTGGTACTCAGGGTGCGTTTTGTTGTTCCTTATCTAAACATTAGACTTAATTAGACAGATAAATCAATTTATCTGTAATCGACACATCTGCTTTTTTTTTCTTTTTTTTTTTTTTTTTAACCTCTGGAAGTAATTAATCACCATTTGTTTATTTTTTATTTAACTTAGGAACAGAAATAAGTATAAAGAAATGTGTTTAACAGCTGTTGCCTTCTCAAGTACACATGGTGATAATTTCCCAAAATATTTTCTGTGGCAAACGACCTTCTCACCAATCTGATTTTATTTGTCTCCTTTATTTGTAAAGAATAGCACACCGCTTGTTTAATTTGTTTGCTTAAAGAGATATATTTTTCCCCGCACTAAATACTATTGGAATCACATAGCTCATTTTAGACCATGAGACTGTGTATGTTAACCCCACTCTTTTCAGCTGAGCAAACACAGACAGGAGTTTTAAAAAATTTAGACGTCTCTCTTACACTTTTCTAAACTTTTAAAAGGCAGCTGAAGTACCTTCAGCGTTCCAACTTTAAGGTATGAGACAAAACTTTATATTACCCATCAGATAATATATTTATATAGTGTCAGTCGTCTGATTTTGTACATTTACAGCTTTGCAGGACAAACTATCAACCTATGAAATCTTGAAGCCACTATTCAATAGTGTGTGGCTACAGAAAGTGACATTCTTTATTGACTATTAACTCTGATTTTCTGTTGTGGATCACAATTTCACTTGGAGCAGCCTGATCGATAGCAGAGCTAACTATTACCTTGGTCCACAAGTATCCTGCGTCTTGGGAATCGCCCTCAAAAGATACTGGGGGAGATGTAGAGTCTATTTCTCTTCAAACCCTGATAACACTGATATAATTTTCCAGTCCCACCGCATTAGTTACATTAGTTGCTGTACAGACCCCCAAGGTTGTGTTTACCCGTAGATGCAACCATGTCTTTGCCAAGCAGTTATGAAGAGAATTATTCGTAATTAGTCCTTATGGCCGGACAGCAAGACGGGAGAAAGTGGAAGGCAGCGCGCAGTTTATCTACCAGGATGATACGCTGCTGGAAAAAAAAAAAAATTACCATCCCACCCTCCCCCCATTATAGCGTACAGGAGTAACTTTGTGTCTGTGCCAGGCAGAGCCAGAGAGCTGCTGCCGGACCATCCTTTCCCGCCGTGCCCCTTCCCCCTGCCCCGAGAGAGCGGATGCTGCTCGCGGCCACCTGCGGCCGGGCAGGGCGGGGAGCTGCCGCTGCGCGACTCTTCTGCGCGGGTGGCTGCGCTCGGGCAGATCATTAATTGCGCTGTGGATCGTCTGAGAAGAGCCTTCCCTTCCAGCGGGGCACGGCGCTTCTTCTGCAGCACTTTCCCCGTGGCTCCCGGCGGTGGCTGTAGCCCACCCCGGCGCTCCGCGGCCCTGAGCGGGGCGAGTTTATTCCCCGTGGGGCACACAGAGCCCTGCGTGGGTCGTCGCGGCGGCGTAAGGCAAGAGCGGAGATCCCCGAGGGGGAATCGCGTCGGTGGTGAGAAAGGAAAGAAAAAACTAAAACCAAAGAACGCCACATCCCGAAGAATAAAGGCGCGGCGGGGAGCGAGCGGCTTTGAGCTGCCCTTATTTTTCCTTTTTAATTTTTATTTTCCCTCCGTACCCAGGGGGCGGAGGAAAGAGGCAGCAGGTCCCAGAGGACCTGCCGGGAGATGCGCTGGATTTCGCTGGAGAGACGAGGCTCTCCCTGTCTGCCCGCGTCGCCCTTGGCAAGTTGCGCAGCAGCGGAGCGGG